ACTTTTGGGATGTGCACAAGCGTGAGCGATGATGCTCGCCAAGTTGCAACCACCACAAACTCCCATTCTAGGCTTCCAAAGGCCGCGTGCATCCTAGCAAATCACTAAAGCCCAGGTGCACATTACCTGTGCCACCTTGAGGCAGTACACCATCAAAACAGCACTCCGAAGTGTGCATGGTTGCCAAACCCCTTCACAGCAGAACACCACCATGACAGGGGGACTCGCAAACAGACAACACAATTGAAAGCGCAGGGCGACAAAAAAACACGTCCACGTTGACAGATGCCAGCCCCACTGCTGAAGAGGAAAGGCCGCGTCAGCTCACCTTATTAGCCTGGTCTACCGATGCGCCCTTTTCCAGCAGCAGCGCCACGGTGCTCGTGTGGCCGCCGCTTGCAGCCCAAATGAGGGCCGTCCAGCCAGACTATGCATCACACACAACGACGAGCACGTCAAAGGCTCTCGGGACCCAAACCAATAGACCAACACCAGCTTGGGTCGATGTGCCTTTCAGCGAGTTTCAACAGGTGCGTTCATAGAGTGCAGTACGTTGTAGCATGGTAGCATCATGTGAATTGTGCAGCGGACATCACCGCCATCGTTCAAACTAACAAATATTTGGGCCTAGAACAGTGCCGAAGAAAACTTTCGCCTGGGCCATGCGGCAAGAAAAAACACCATGTAGAGCACAAAAAAGAGCAAGCCAGAATGGGAACTCCTGGTACAGTGAAAAACGCTCAGTGCTTGCTTGGCAGCCCTTTCTTCGCAATGGCATTGCTCACGTCAAACAGTCAATCTGTCTCAGCTGCATGCTGCACAACATAAAAGTTGCATTGGCCAAAATGGCCTGAAGGATCACACGGTCTTTGTGGTTGCGTGCCTGACCATGATGGTCATTTTCGTGCTCTGCACTTGTCAGACAACCAGTGGATGAGTCCTCATGCTGCTTGGGGCAGCTCAAAGTGCAGGACAAAATACAAGGACGGGATCCTCTACTGTCAATATCACTGCCCACAACATGCAAGGGGCATTGCTTGCATGTCCTGTTGATAACAGTCATCCCTGGAAGCACCAACCCCTGCTGCTGCAGTGCATGGATCAGGGATAGAGGGTGACAAACATAGGAAAAAGACAGGTAAAATTCTCGCGGAAGGATTTTGTCCTTCCTGCATGAGACTGTAACAGTGTTGATGCCATTTGATGGCACACTCTGAAGTGTGGTTGCTGCACTTTGCCTTTTCGTTTTGGACTTTTTTTCTTCTGGCATCCCCTCCATTCACAGTTCTGGCTGTTGTGACAGGACATGCATCCATCGCAGCATCTCTCTTAACTGAATGGTGGCAGCGAATATGGCTTGCCACTCCTATGGTGTCTCTGCAGGAGCAGCACACTTTGATTTTCTCGCTTATAACAGAGCAACAAATGCACAACAGCTCTCGCATACAACCAACTGTATCCAATCTCAGGCAAAGGCAAGATTGCAACAACCATAGAGCCAATTTCATGCTGGAACTCATCGCTCCATCAGACAGATGACGACATTTTACTCAGGCTTGATGTCACTGTAAAACCATGCTCATTGGCTGCCCCAAGACCAACCTTTTTGTCTCGAAAGTCCACCTGTGTCTCTTTCAAATGCCACTCGACCATCTTGTCCAAGCCATTGCTTGCGCACCAATGAAGAGGTGTGCAATCATCCTGCTCCACACACACACAACGCTTTCACCGTGAATCACATTTCCAAGGAAAACTTGTCCTTTTACAATTCAGTACTGCCAAGCAACGATGCAGCAAACGATGCAGCAAATGCCCTGCAATTGTGACGCACCCAGTCCCAGATCATGAGCTCACACAGCTTCGTTGCCTCCAGCTCTAATGATGTTCCGAGGTCTTCAAGCATCCGATTGAAGGCCTCAGGAATCTTGCAACCCACTGGAAGGCCCAAAACCTCAAGACATTCCAAATCCTCCACAAACAATGGGAAGGCCATGTGGCCATTCCCTTGGAGCCTCAGAACCCTCAACTCCAACCATGCCCCCCCAATGGTGTCAGGAATGTCCACCAATCGCGGGCATTGTTGTACATCAAACTCTTGCAAGTTGGAAAGGTCTGCCATACTGCTGGGCAGTTCCGTGAGGCTGTCACAGTTGTGCAAGATCAACACTTCTAACTGACTCAACTGACCAATGCTGGCTGGCAAGCTTGTGAGCTGCCAGCAGCCACCCAGATTCAGCGCAGTCAAGCTTGCCAAATCTCCAAAATTTGGAGGCAAGTGCTTGAGGCCAGTGCACCTACTCAAGTCCAACATGGTCAAGTTGCGCCATGCTTCCATATCGGGATGGTAGGAATGCGCAATACCACACTGGGGCATCAGTAGCTTGGTCAGCATCGACAGATGTCCCAGGGATGCGGGAATGTCATGAATGCTTCTGCAGCCCCTCATGGACAACACTCTCAACTGCACCAGTTCACCCACTTCAGCTGGAAGACATGCCAACTTTTCGCAGTAATCCACCCTGAGTAGCTGGGCAGATTGCAAACAAGATATTTGTGAAGGCAGTTTGACGATGCCCGAGGACGTCAGGTCAATTGCCACCAATTGGCTCGTCAAGAGTGTTGGTGGTAGCTCTGATATCCCTGCATCCTTCAACACAAGGGCCTTCAACTCTTGCATCTGCAGATTCTGCAAAGCGCACAACTGGTCTGCTCCAATTATTTTACACGCAGAAAACCTCTTTGCGGCCAGTGTTTGATCTTTGCAACTGCTGTGTTTCAAATGAGATGAAACCAACCTCTGTCGTACTTGCATTGTTTCGCCGGCAATAGCACGGAGAGCACAATCACGGACCACATCATGCAAGTAATAGTGCACCCCACCATCCCTGGGTTGAAATTCCAAAACTTCCGAGCTGTCTTATCCTCCTTGCTTGATCAGCGCTCGGTCTTCAAGTTCCCTCAACACCTTTCGCACTGTGCCCTCATCATCACACGTTCCTATGCACTTCTGCAGTTCTGCCTCGTCGCACTCACTAGCACGGTAGTCTTCAGGCAATGTCGCCAAGTCCAGCAACACACTCTGATGCACGGGGTCCAGCCTGTTGAAACTTACACCAAACACACGATCGACCACAGCTGTTTGGAACCATGAGCTCGTTGTAAGGGCATCCACGGCGTTCTTCCACATGTCCTTCTCCTCACGGCCCCCTGTGGCTCTTATGCTGTTCGCCACCTTTCCCATGATTTCCAGAGCAAGTGGCAAACCCCCACATTTTTCAACAATGGCCTTGATATGCTTTTCTTGCCACCTCTTTGGCTTGTCTTCACCAAAGGCGTGCTTGCGGAACAATTCATGCGACTCGTTTTCGTCCAAGCATGTGACATCATGGCGCCTTGCGCGCACAACTTCAGCAACTTTGTCATTCCGTGAAGTGATCAACACATGGCCACTTGCTGATGCGACATCGAGGTGCATCATGTCCATCCCTTCCCACAAGTCGTCCAACACAAGAAGATATGTCTTGCCCTGCAATTTTGCTCGCAACTGCAACTTGCCATCTTCAACACTGCAAAACTCTGCTTTTTCTCCCACGAGGACATCCCATATTCTCTTGTGGCATTTCGTGATATCAGGTTCCTGTGAAACCGTGACGAACGCCAAGCCAAGGCAACCTGTTTTCTCATTTTTCGCAAACTTGGTTTTTATCCGCTCATCATGCATGATCGACTGCGCAAGTGTGGTCTTGCCTATGCCCCCCATGCCTATGAGGGCCACGTAGGTATTCTCGTCGCCTAGCAAAATCTCTGTGATGAGGGATACCTGCAAATCCTGCCCGACTGCATCCGGTCTGCAAGGTGTGTATGGAGACGGATGGCTGCCCTCCTTGCGAATTATGGACACTGCCCTTGACACCACTCTTGGCAACACTGATCACAAAACAAGCACTGCCGTCATCAACAATCCATTCAGAAAACGAGTTGAGCAACAGAGCACATGGCAACATCGATGCAACAACATCATAACAATATGCGTGTACACTAAATACACACACACTGTGCACATGCACAATCAACAATTCGTTCACAAAAGAATTCAGCAATGGGCCACATGCCAACATGGGTGCAGCGGAATCATAAAGAGCTGCAAAATTCAATGTGAACCCTTTTCAGTTCAACAGTACCACCCAACGGGAGCCCAACAATTAAACCGGCGGTATTAACAAAGCTTGCCGGCCGCCCCTGCTGCAGCCAGCCTTACGTACTGCTCACAGGTGTACTGCTCACAGGCAACCCATGGTAAAATAAACAGCAACAGTAACCGTGTAACGGTACAACAGTAACAGGTAAAATAACATTAAAATAACTCCTCTCCATGTCATCACATCCGCAGTCCGCAATATTAAAAATATTTGAAATGTTGAAATATTAAACCCTTCCGCATCAGAAAATTTCACCTTTATGCTTTTTGCTCCGCATTTTGTTTTTCAGAGCGTTATTTCTATGTTTTTTACGTTGCTCCGCACAGAAAGGCCAAGATCTGCGTTACCACTTATATTGTTTTCTCCACAAGAAAGGACCAAGCGTTACGCTACTGTGCGGAAGGGTTTAATATTTTACAGTACTGCGCAAACCTCTATGGCATCGCGCAGCGCACCAACAGGCCCACTGCCACGTTGTCGATCAAATTGCCCCTTTTGCCCCAAGGCCCACAAGGCTCACGACGCCGCCCGCGCCCTCCTTGGAGGGAAAGTATGCTTTCGACGCGGGCGATTGGCGTCTCTTGCTGTTGGCTGGCCGCGAGGATTTGACGCGTCGGCAAGGAAGCGGGCGTCAGGGCGCGAGCCAAGCGGCCACAGGATGTACGGAGCCGTGAAAGGCCCCGTGAAAGACACACCTCCAATGCCGGCCCCAAGGCCCCAGGCCACAACGCGGGCCTCCTGGAACCACCTGGTGCGGCGCGGTGCGGCCCATTGGACAAGGAGCAAAACAACACGATCGACCCAGCCCACCTCCCCACACACCCCGCCTCGCCACCACCCAACCTTGGACACTTTCAGCGGCAAGGATCGCTGCGTTGCGAGGCGACGCGCAAGACCCCGCAAGAGGGGGGCCATGTCGATGGCCCACAAAGGCATGCACGGCCATGCGGCCACGCTTGAGAGAAAGCAAAATAAAACAAAGCAAAAGCGGGACAAGGGCCCACCGAAGCGGCGATCGAGTCGGCGGAGCGTGTGGACCGAGCGTGGATTGCCTTGCTGCGAACGCGGTTGGGCCTGACACCGGCGTCAATATTGGCGCTATTAATGTTCTGCTGCTCCTAGGGCCACTGCAATAGTGCCCAGCCTAAGCTGCAGCGCAGGGCCGAGCTGCCCGCCCAGGGCAACGACGCAGCGGGGCCGGGCGTCCCCGTGTTGCCTCTAGATCAGGCCTCCGTTTGGTGACTAGGCTGCCTGGGGCTATCAATTAGGGCGGCAGCGGGCAGCATCAGCGGGTGCAAGGGAGGCTCTAGAGGTGCACCTGCTGAGGGCGCCAATAGCTGCGGCCGTGGGCACCGCAAGCGGGCGCGTATGATCCCCGCCATCTGCGTGTGCCGCTGCATGCGCCCAAGGGTGTTGGCGTGAGGGGGTGCAGCATAGCAGAGAGTGGCATGGCGCGGCGTGCAAGTCGCCTACCTCAATCAAGCCAAACACTTGCGGGCCGTGCATGACAGTGAAAACACATTTGGCACGGCCCTTCAGAAACCGCCACGGCCTGTGCGAGGCAGGCCACTGAACGAGCACCCACTTAAAGGACAAAGTGCGGTGGCATGCTCGCCCGGTTCAAAAGCTACTGGAAGAGCGTCCGCTAGAGGCTGCGGTGTGGCGGCGAGCTGGCCTGCCCTCCCGCCTCGTGGCCAACGTGATGAACTGGCGGGGCCAGCCCTCTCAAGGGTTGGCTGTCAACGACGATCGCCGTGGATCGGGCCTCCGTTTGGCGACTAGGCGCGAGTGCTCATAGCAGCCGATCCCTATTGGCGGCCGCTGCCCTGGCCCGGTGCCCTTGTTGTCCCAATCCCCTTTCCGCCCAACGCCGCCGCTCTGGCCAGGACCCTGCGCTTTCTTGCTGCATTGGCGGAGGTAGCGATGAAACCATGCTTCGCGCCCGCCTCCCCCCCTCTCTTCCCTTGTCCCTGCCCCACCAATTTCAACCACTTTATTGTGGCCAAACGCCAGTGAGCATTCGCCCGTGCAGTGCTGTGGTGTTTGCCTGCCATCGCGCACGCCACTCGGCTGCCAAACGACCTGGCCTCGAGCAGCATGAGTAGCCGCCCACGAAGCGCCACACCTAGGTCTGTCGAGAGCACCAATCGATGGGGCCGTGGTGCCACAAGTGGGCACGTGTGAGCCACCACGCCCACACTTTGGGGCCGCGTTCACCACAACTTTGTGCCGAGCATACTGGCGATGACCACACCGGCCTGACCACCGAGATCGCGTGCTATGTTCGGCGATCAGCCTGCGGTCAATCGAAGGGCAGCCAAGCGCCGGCAGCCTACGCCTGGGCTGCCCCGCCTCGTGCCTCGCCCACGGGCCCCCCACCGCGAACAGTTCCCTGCCAGAGCCCTTCAAGGCGCGCGTTCTTGGGTGCTCGCTCGTGTCCCGGAACGGATCAGTACGAGATGACAGCAGTGGCCAAAAAATGACCATCAAAGCACTAACGACAATGACGAACGGAAACAAAACCTGTCCAAAGAATCAATGGGAAAACGCAATTTGTTCTCCCCCATGGCATCTCCCCCATGGCGGATGAAAAGCCAACGCCGTGACGCCGCGACGCCAGGTTAATCGGAGGACGTCATGTGCGCGGCGCGTGCGGTGGTCCGAGCTTGTATAATTGACTAATGAGTATAAAAAAGCTCTCCTACAGCTACAGCAATTTTGCAAAACGGGCACGACAATGGCAATCATAGATGGGCACAAATGAGCTTCAACACACTTCGCTAGCGAACAAGGTATGGTATGAACCAGGTTTATGCTATCCATTGTCAGCATGGACTTGATGATTGTCACATCATAAGCACCACAGACTCATGGTGCAGCGTGAGTTCCCTATCCACGCAACAAATGGCCAACAGAGAAGGGATTGCCGGCAACAACAAAACTGGGGAAGGGGGCCCACCATGGGGGCTACAACAAGTCGTTTGGGGAAACAACCCAATTCAACAACAATATGTGCCGTGTCCAGTTTAAGTACCCAATGGCACAAGTCAATTGCATGACATAAAGGCCAGCCAAGGCAGGGCGATTGCAACTTGTCATTTTCATGTACGTAGATGATTGGCGAAAAAAAGCAAGTAGTTGCAAATAGTGCTCGCATCTGCTCAAAACATTGGAGGCATTCACAATTTCTATTATGCAATGGTTTCTCTTGTCTCCAGTAGCTCACATGTGTTTGCCAACTCGTGGACCGCCTTGTTCGTGTCGTGTTGCTCATAAGTTGACAGGCGCTGCTCGCACTCTGAAGCCAAGTCCAGAACTGCAGACGGCCCTGGCCTCCCCTTAAACACGCCGTGCACCACCATCTGCACGGTTGACTGGTACTCAAAACTCTCAAGTTGTCGGGCGCCCTCTTCTATCACACCCAGCAGCTCTGACAGCTCCTCAAACCGACTCTCAGCCTGCCCCTGCACAACCCGCTGCAGCGTCTCCAAAGTGCGCTCCGCGATTCGGGCCAGCCTGGTTTGCGCCGGCTGGAGGCTGTCCGAATCCGACTTGACTCTTCCTGCCACCTCCAGGGCGAAGCCCAGCACAGAAAGGGCCGGACCGACGACGGGCAAGGGGCCCAGTGTGTCCTTCACAATTCCTGCAGCGTTGTCCAGCACGCTCACGACCGACTGGGCCGTGGCCAGCTGATGCGCGCGAAGGGGCCAACCCGTCGGCTCTCGCTCCTGCAAATCTCCGAGTCCCTTGCTAGCGACACTCTGGCCCTTGAGCAGATCGATCCACGGCTGCACTCGCCATCGCAGCGCGGCCACCCACTGGGCCGCAATTTCTGCAGTCTCCGCTCTAAACTGCTGCCTGACATCCCCAAGCTTCACCGCCCACTCGCGCTCCCCCTCCTTGTAGATCACTTCCGTGTGGCCCCGCACCAGCGCCATGCTGTGCCCCTTGCCCACCCAGGCCTTGGTGTCCTCGGGCAGGCCTGCCTCGCCCTTAGCGCTGATCCACCTGAGATCCATTCTAGCCAGCAGGCGCTTGCGCTTCCATCGATTCGACCCCGGCGACAAGACCTCCACGCAGCCGGCATCAGGGGCCATCAGCAATCGTCGCGCATCCTGTGCAGTCTGTTCATCCGCGTCCTCGCCGGCGGTAGCCATCGCCCAAGGCGACCCTGCGGACGGCGCCGGGAAGATCTTATCGAACAGGTTGGGTTTCAAACCTCAGGGCCAATCGCCCCGGGTACAAGCATACACCACCCCGTACATATGGCGCACACCTCCGGGCTTGTATATAGTGCGTACAGGGAGGGCATCTCCGCTCAGACCCAGGGCGCCGTTCCAAGCGGGGCCTCGTCGCAACTCGAGGAGGTGTTGGGGCAGGAGCGAACGCAGGGACGGGCGAAGGGGGGTTGCTCCCTGACCCCTCTGCTGCGAACGAGTTGACCGTCAACAGAGGCGGGGCGGCCGAACGCAGCACAATGAGGCCCCAAGAACACGTTGAGCATCACACTGGGTGGAGGGACCGAACACAGCACCGCAGGCCTCCACCCACCCATTTTCCAGCAGGCGAGGGGTGAAATTCGATGCAAGGGCAACGCCGCGTGACGAGGTGTGAGAACGCCGGGCGGCTCATCTTGCAAACAGCGGTATCGCCGATGCGAACAGTGGGCTGCAGTCAGATAGGCGAGCGAAATCCCCGATCCGGCACTTCCGGAAGGGCGTTGCGGTTGCGACAAAACGGCCTCGACAACGGGGGCGCCCCTTCGGACAGCGCGGTTAGGAGAGCCGGCCCGCAACGTTGGGGCCATTTTCCCATTTTCTGCACGCCAACAGAATCAGGTCGAGCTGCAATTGCCGCCGCGCACCCACAGCCGCCCGCGCGTCTCCCAGGCGCCCCAGATGGGCTCACGGCCTGGCGTTAATACCCTGAAGGTCACTCACCGGCCTTCCGCTACCGGTGGCTTCAAGGAGGCAGCTCAGGCGAGTCCACGTCCTGCTGGGGGACCTTGAGGCCGCGTGCTGACGCCCTCGCCTGGAAGGCGCGGCGGTTGCACCGCAAACGCACAAACCCTCGCCGCTGCCACAGCAGTTTCAATGACGCGTGGGGGCGCTCGTCGTTCAAGGCAGGCTGCCGGGATTGCCCGGCTGCTGGGTGGCCCGATGGAATCAGAGCGCGGTGATTGTGAGGCTGTCAAGCCCTATGTGTCGATCCAGCGGGCCCCGGCGGTGTTGCAACCGGACGGCAATCGTGAATTCGCGGACGCTGCTGCGCAGCAGAACCCGACAAGGCGGCACATCATCCGGCCGTGCCTTGATGGGGCGTGAAAGTGGTCCTTCTGCCTATTTTGTGGTTGTCGAATCTTGTTTCGGAAGCCCTACACCACAAACACTGACCCATCGACACGCGCTGGCCTTGTCAGCAGAAGCAGAAGGGATCCTCTCGGAAACGATGCGGGGACTGCTGTTTTCCCCTTGATGATGTGCCGCGATGCCAGATGATGTGCTGCGCCATTTGATGGGCGGCGATGCACTGTGACTTTGCTGGATGATGCTGCGGCGTCTGGAGCTGGGAGATTAGCTTGGGGCGCTCGGATCCTTGGGGGCCGGCCTCCCGGCGTGACGCACGCACTCTTTGCACAATCCGGGTGTTGTGTGCCAGGAACAAGAGTTATTGTGTGCCAGGAACAAGAGTTCCGCGAAAAAGGAGGGCAGAAGTCCGTTTTGTGGATTGACGACAGCTTTTCAGGGTGGCAAAGCGATGCGGAAGGAGCGTGTGGGAGTGTAGGCAAGTGCATTGACAGCCTTGGGAAAATGCTGTTCATCGAAGCGCCTGACGGCAACCAATCCTGTTTTGAATTGTTTACCCATCAGCACTTTGCAACCCATTGTATATTCAAAGGGTTCCATTCCTAAGCAACTGATTGTTGGTCAAAGCGTTGCCCAATTGTGATCCTCCATTCGCATCACGTCTACAGGCAGGCTTGGTTTTTACCTTTACATTTGCGTTTTTACTTCTACGTTTTTACGTGTAAAAACGTAAACTTGCAAAAGGGCCTTTTTTATGGCTATTATTACGTTTTTACGGCTCCCTGGGGCACCCAGGTTACACGATGAAAGTTGCGTACAATGACCAATTCTCCACCATCGCCAGCACCAGCAACGCAATGCCCACCTCTTCCTTGGCAAGGGCGATGATGGTGCTTAACAAAAACTCGTTTTCTGCCCCTTCCAGGGCGTCTGGCTGCCATTCTCCGGACTCAGTAATTCTGTATGTACTGTCCTTATGTACACCGGGCAGTTTTTACGTTGTATTTACGTATTTTTACGCATTTTTACGCGTAGAAACGTAAGAGATATTTTTACGGGTAAAAATGTAAATACTTCCTCCGTCCGGAATTAATTGTCCTCTGTGACTTTGGTGCCTTACTTCTCTATCATAGACACTTCATTTCTCATTCAAATTTTTTGAAAAAGTGCGCCTATGTTTTAAGAATATGCAGTCGAAATTTCAAGTCAATCCGTGGAGTATTGCGGATTCGGCAGTACTTTGTGGCAAGGGCCATCTAGCCAGAAACCCACAAGTTTTTCAACATTCCTGTTGTAATGGCCATTTTCGCTATTTTGAGGAGCAAGCATTTCCAGCAGCGCTACAGAGCCGCCCGGGCAAAACTATCCATGCCGTTTGGACAGAAGATCATGGAGGTGCTGGCAAAGGAAAAGGGCAACAGAAAATGTGTCTTGAAAGTCCTGATCGTGGAAGTCACCGTGTCTTGCGGCCGCAATTCAAGTTCGATTGGCCAAATCAGAGATGCCCATCAAGTCCAAATTTCTGAACCACGAGTTTTGGACCTCCAACTCCACTATGAGGGATACTACAAGAGGCCTCCCAGATTCCTCGCAGACCTTTAGGAAGGTGGTGGCCATCACCCCATTCAGCAGCAGACAATTAGGGGGCAATTATGGGGCAATTAGGCAGCGACCCTCCCGGATAGGAATAGTGAATCGACAAGTTTTTGGCACTTGAAGGGCTTGAGCTCGAGAAGACTAGCTAGCTATAGATAGATAAAATTATGTCTCTCAAAGGGAAACGCACTTTATCGGCTACGACATATTGTGGATTGCATGCAAGAATTGGCAGATCATGGCAGTTTGTGGGGTGTGAGCCAGGCTGCTCACAAAAACAACGATTCAAGCCTCAATCGAGGCTGATTGTCCAAACAAGTCTACCGCATAACCTTGGAACAATAGCTCGCACATAGCCCAAGCTTGAATGAACACCCTGTGCCCTAGCCTTGTCTGCTTGCTTTACGTATGCACACCAAAGGTCGACGATGGCTGAGATTTCGAAAATCGTCAAAACTGCGATAATAGCCTTCCACGATGGGGATCCAGACACGCTCGCGCGTGTTTGGCAAGTGCTATTCTACACAAGGGACACCGCCCTTCACTGCACAGATGACAACAATTTATCTTCACCGCACCAAGGACGGGAGTGACCCAGAAACGTGCGGTTCTCTAGCAGATGCGGAATCTGCACGCACACTTTTTGGACGATTTTCGGTCAATTTTGGGTGCCATCCAGAGGAGGTGGGACTAATTATTTTTCTTGAAAATTGGTGGCTAAGGGTTTCGCGACCCAATCTTTCCGATTTTGATATTTTTTGGTAAATTTAAGGTGTTCTTTGTAACGAATTTCGTCTCTCAAATAGAGGACGATTAATTCTGGACGGAGGAAGTACGATCAGCTTTTACGACGTAAACACCAAGCCTGTCTACAGGGACGTGGTTGCCATGTTGAGCAGTGCCCGGGCGTCCTTGCTCATAGCGTCTAGCAGTGGGTTGAAGCGTCGGTAATGGGCAGAGTCCACCGGACTACCGGACATTGGCGGGAGCAGCATGGAAACTCGTTACTCGGAATTCCTACGAGGAGCGTCGCTTTCCTGTATTACTTCCCGTGGACTAGGGGCCCAGTACAATTTGTGCTGCTTTAAAGCAACCGAGGCAAATTTGCCACTTTAGGGGTCAATATCTTGCGTTGGAGCTGTCCAGCCGTCCCGTGCGCAGCAGGCAACGGCAACACATCAATGGGCCGTCGGGATTCAAAACACTTGAGGGCAACCAGTGCGGGTCGATTTGCAGTCCCAGTACATTTGTGACACGCAATGTACACCATGCGTGTACAGCACAACACCAGTCACAGGTGTCCGACACAGCAACTAGACGACACGCATGAGGTTGGGGCGCAACACACGCAGTGCAATTACATGTATTAAACTAAGTTATAAATTTAATAATTAAATGTACTGAAATAAAAAAAATGCACGCCGTGCGCATAGATGCAAGCTGGGCTAAACAGGCAGTGCCGTCTCACCACGCCACCCTTTTCTACCGATGCGCCCTTTTCCCAACAGCAGCGCCACGGTGCTCGCCTGAGCATGGCAGGACGGCTGGACGGCCCTCATGCTGGCCGTGCAGGATCGCCACTTGAATGTTTGGTCGCAGACTTTCAGCACAGTTTCGTCACAAGGTTTCGTGTTAACCGCGCATCGCGCCAAAATGCAGACATTGGCGTCAGATTCTTCCAGTACCGCAGTGGAAGAAGATTGGAGCTGATTTTTGTGGATTATAGTCACGTAAAGGAACACACGTCCAAGAGTGTGTAAAATTGGGAATGCTCCAAATCAGAAGCCGAACCCGGAACAAATGTTTTGGTGCTGCTTCACGTGCCGTTTCTCACCAACACGCAACAGGGGACAGGCGAACTTCTCGTTTGCTTCATACCCACTGGCTGCAACGGGGGTTCATTGCTCCTTGCAGAATCCTTTTTGCAAATTCAAACATCTGCAATCACAAGATATTTTGCTTGTATTGCTATCTGTGACAATCAAGGCTCCCCCGCGTAATGTATGGCAAGGAAACGGCTTTTTGACATTGAGATATCTCGACTACATAAATGCAGTTTGTTGGTATTAATGTGGAAGATTTACCGATTCAAGCATCCCAAAGTACATAAAACTCAATATTATGTCCCCGTTGTGATGGAGAATTAACGATAAAGTAATCGGCTTCCCAAACTAAGCGACGGCTATAAATAACACATAAATTAGGCTTAACATAGTAGAAACAGCATCAGGCTCGTGAATGCCAGATTGGTAGCC